GTTTCACATGGGAGTTCCCCCTCCCCCGCCCGGGGATCCAAATGTCTAAAGGAAGTGAATAAGTGGAGTTCCGCTATTATTAGCTTTAATATATCTAATTTGATTGCATTCTAAAGCTGCACTGGTGCTCATAACCGCGTCCGAGGCCAAAAATTGCAAAACATTGTAAAGAAAATATGAATTTGTACATCGATATCAATTCAGGACTTATCCAGCTGGGTAAATGTTCGACAAGGTTGCATCTACTAGTTCTGAGAGGTACGTCTAAAACCTTGGATTCATAAACCTTCAACCAGTTAGAAAATTGATCTGTGGCCCTGCGAGCCGTCATACATGTCTAAGCTAAACAAAATGGGTTATCAACTAGGCACTCATAGTAACATTAGTGACGAAGACTGAGTATTTTCACAAGTCAAACTAAAAATCTATACTGGCTAATCTAGACGGGACAAGGTAGTACTTACATCGTATAACTCTCACCAAAATACTCTGAGAAAGCGACCCAGCTCTGTTTTTTGCAATGCAAATATAGGTACCAGCGTCTCTCAGCTCGATGTTTGTAATAAAAATGCTCGTCGTTGTATTGTTCTGTTGTAATATTTGACCATCTTTCTTCCACGTCACCAAAGGTATAGGGTCACCATTTGCGTCACAATGTAAAGGTACATCATCTCCTTCTTCAAACATCTAGAGTCCGATTTGCTCCATTGCTTATGGTTGGTGGTTCTAAATAATTAGAAACTGGAATAAATGTCACGTAAATACCTAAATAGACAATCATAATTTTCTCCGAATGAAGAACAATGAATGGCCTTTAAAAGGCTCTCCAACTGATGAGCCTCAATGGATGGCCCCCTAAAAGGCGCCATGGAAAACTGAAGAATTGTATAATGATAAGAATGGCAATCCGATTTGCAATTATGGTTGGTGGCTCTTAAAAGTTAAAACTGGGATAAATATCCAAACAAACAGACGGTTATGTAGGTATTTTTCCTATTGATTGATTGAATGGTACCCACAAATGTACTAGTTATAAGAAATGCCTGTAAATATTATTTGATTTCGACTTTTCTAACCTCTTAAGTAATTGCAATTAATTAAAGTTCTTCAGATTATACAGATCAGCGTGTATATATTAAAAAAACTTTCCAACTCCAATAACTATATTTAGAACCTCTTGTAAGCGATCACCTCTCGTAAGCGACCGCTACTACTTTTAGGGCTAAAATTTTTAACTTTTCTTTTATTTTTAACCTCCCGTAAGCGACAACTTCACAGATAATAGAGCGGAAATTGGATAAAAAGCTAACAATAAAAAGGGGTTAAAGCTAGCAATCCAATCCAATTCAATCCAATCCTTATAAGTTCATGTTCAATCCTCCTTACGTTTAGAAAACATTAAAGATTCAATTTTAAACTATCGTGAGACTTGTCCCGTTCGCCTTATAAGGACGTTTATCAGAAGCGAACCATCATATTCTAATGAATACTTTGGAAAGTTTAAATTTTTATGGTTACTAAAAGTTATTACATGGGTTAGATGGGCATTGACGCATTAGGTAAGTCTCTGCAGTACCATTTGTTAATGAGGCAAAATTTTGACCCATTATGGCCTAACCTCTTGTGAGCGACCACCTCCCGTAAGCGGTAACCTAGGCTTGACATTTTGTGTGGTCGCTTAAGGGAGGCTCGACTGTATCCAATTTTAGGGTCCAACAACAAAGTAAATTTTCCTTTTTGCGTTTGTTTCGGCGTCTGTGGTACAGTAATTTTAAATTCGAGAGAGACACCTCGACCTTGATCAAGCACGGGAGGAGAGTCTACTTTTTCAACAATGCTGTTTATAATCTGCCCGCTCTATCTTCCCTATTCAAAGCCACTATTGTTAGTTTTGTTGTT